TAAATACATTAAAGATACAAAATATTAAATATAAAAAGATGAAAAATAAAATAATCAACATTCCTTTTACATATAAATGTTTTTTCATTAAAAATAATCAAACATAAGTTAGTTTAGATACATATTCAATAAATGTTAATTTAATTCAGATAATATTTGTGTTAGTTTAGGGTCAGGTATATCATAAATTGAAGAGTAATTAAAAAAATATTTCTGAATAAACGACCATACAACTAATGATGCTGAGGGATATTGCGTAGATTAAATAATTGAAATATTTTGTAACAAACTTCAATTGCTCTTAAAATTGAATGTAAATTATACTTAACAGAATCAAAATAAACTAATATTTCTTTAATATTAAAAATGGTTCCAATAACAAGAATAAACGGTTGAATAGGATTACCCTGTTTTTTTTAAAGTTTTTCGAGGTGAGATTCCATATTTTCTACAGATTCCCCAAACATAATACAACTTTCTTGTGAATCTTTTATAGAGAACTTAATAAGGTTTATTATAATAAGGGAGCCCGAATCGGGCTGTATTCAGACGTGTACTACCACCCATTAGTGCAAGCACCTTCACGCCACTCTGTATGACAATATTTGGACTTAGAACAATTATTGAAGTGTAATAATAAAATTCACAATTATACAACAACTGTTTATATCATTTATTCATCAACCACGACTATATCATCTGAAGAAGTGTCTGGGACCTGCACCGTTTACGTACTGGTAGCCACTTGTCTACTATTATTACTACAATGGTAGGTACCAAGTTACCAGAACGTTTCACTGGCTCAGTCGAAAAAAGGAGGTTCAAGGAGTTAAGACGAGGCGAGCAGTCAAGGTGGCGGATTTCAACTTCCAAAGGCGAGTCCAGCAGTCAAGGCGGCGACATTCAACTTTGGAGGTCCAGTTCCTACGCAGAGGCTACACCACGTCAACAGCTCCACGGAGGCAGTTCTAACGAACCACAGTCGAGGTCTGATCAACCAAGGCGACTCCGGAATCAACGAACAACAAATTGAAGACAGGCCAGCAGACAGAAGGAAAATGAATACAGCAGTGGCAACATCGTTATTGTGAGTAAATCAATTAAGTTGAAGATAGATAGATAGAATTAAATTTGTAGCTTGAAGTGCACGTCTCACGTTTATTTTATTTAATCAGCGTTCATTTTATATCTTGGTGGAAGTGTAAAATATTTAAAAAAAATATTCGAATAAAAAAAAATAAAAAAAAAATAATAATAATAGGAAACAAGCTTGATAAGAACTATATATGTATTTTGTAATAGACAGCTGTAGACTGATCTAGGATTTTTATGGTAAATAGACTGCAAGGACCGATCTACGATTTTTTGTGATAGGCAGCAGGGACTGACTTAAGTATTTTATGGTAATAGACAGCAGGGACTGATCTAATAAATTAAAGTAGATGGCGATAGGCTGATCTAGGAAATTGATGCACGACATTCTATATGGGAATAATTAATTAAAGTGAAATATTAAATTTATGAATTGAAATATAGAATGTAAGATAATTGTTGAAATTAATTAATTGATATATTGAAGAAAATAGATTTTCAATTAAAAGGCAGTAGATGACCTTATTGAATAAAAGTAGTTGCAACAAATTCCGAAAAGTTTTGGGAAAAAAGAGTTAATTATAGGGGCCCTAGGATAAGATTTAGTATAATATTACTACGAATTGGTTAATAGGGTAATTGTAATAATTAATAAAAAGTTATTTTTAATTTTTTGTGTTGACATTAAATGGTTTAAGCGCGTAAATTAGAAAATTAAATCGTTAAAAAAAAAAGAATAATAAATAAATTTAATAGAAATATATAAGAAATAGGTAGTTGAATATTGTTATAAGTTTGCTGGCTTAGCTACCCAGTAATAGTTTAATAATATTCAGACGCGTTACTCAAAAAAAAAAAAGATCGCGGCGAACCTAGGCGCCAGTGGCGTATATAGGGGGGAGGCCCCCTAGGCCAGAGTCCATAGTGAAAGTGCAGGTTCAATAAGAGCATTGCATGTATATTGTATATATACATACATATATATATACTGTATATAGTTTTTCAGTTTTCACCCTGATTAAAGTAGGTGGTTGATTAAAATCGTTTTTGAGGAATCAACAAGAAAATGTTAGATTGTTAGGACTTGCTTTGATGACTTATTGACTGATGTTAAATTCTTAGTAAGATAACATTAAAATAATATATAAATGACACTGTCAATATTTTTGAAAAATAATTTTAAATAATAATTACAAAATTAAATTGCGCAGTTTTTATTTTACTGTATATGTCATAATTATAACCACCCAGCTCCTTAAAAAATGTATGGTTATGACTTATGGCTATGTTAGTCGTGCTATGCTTGACTAGTGATAACTAATAAATTGGCCCATAGTGAAAATAATTCGTATATACGCCACTGCTAGGCGCGTAATAATTTACGTAAAATACATGCGTTGTATGGCAACGAGCGTGTGTTAGTAGGTACACAGTACAAGCGCGTACGCATGAAACATCGCGGAACTAGGCGAGCGGAACGGGTGAAGGGATAAACCGTAACGAAATTTAACACGCGTAGCATAGGCGATTGAACGTTTTACGTGTTATTAGATAGGTACTCATCCATTTACGACGTACGACGCGCGTTTACGTAGTTTCCTTTGTGAATAATTATTATTTGTGCATGCTAGTTATTTTATAAGTAATATTTTAGATACGTATTATTAATTTTGGTGATGGTAGTTACGTGTTAATTGTTTTATAATTAATAATAGAATATACATGTAGAGTTAATACTATTGGTAATTACATTCGCGGATAGGATATTAATTGAATAAGTAAATTTAATAAATATAATTTATAAAAAGGTGGGTAAGTGGATGTTGCTCTGCTGTACAGTAGGTTACAAGTGGGTCAATGTATAATGGATGCTATTAAATTTGAATTCAATGATACAATATCATTATATTATAAGAAAGACGATTCTGAGCGAAGACAGTATGTCAGTCTAGGTTTATGACAAATTATATACAAAACTATGGTATTAAAAAAAAATTGAATTTTAATAAATTCCAAATTAATCATATCACATTATCACAATATCCATTAGGTACTTATAACACGTTATACATCAACATCAATAACAAACCCTGAATCCTGATACTATCATAGATATATAATAGTACACTTTAGAAGTTTCAAGTAGGTACCCACGAATAATATAATATAATCACAACAAAATAACTAGGTTTTTTAATATGTAATTTCGTTCAAATTTGAACATAAAATGACTGTAAAAATAAACTGTGATAGTATATTTTTTAGATTTTTCGGTAAGAGAATTAACTACTTACGTGGAATCTTGTTTTAAATTTTCAATCCTATTAGCTATAAAAACTGAACATTTTATAATTTATTAATTACGATGATTAATCATTTTCGAGATTTTGAAAAATTCTGTCAAAATTCGAAGTTTAAATGCTTATAAAAAAAATTGTGCCTATGTACTTCTAGTATTTTAAAAAAATAATAAAAACAATTTATAAAAATTAAGTTAAATTTAAATTTAATTATAATAAAATAAAAATGTGAACTGTTATTGTTAATCGTCGATTTTGTTTTTTTAGTATTTTGGGTTTGCCCCCCCCCCCATTTTAAAATCCTGGCTACGCCACTGGGTATAATACTATAATATCCTCTTTTCCATATTATTTGATATTATAGTAATGTCATAAAAAATATTAAATATATCGCGAAATGTTTTATGTTCATGCAATTTGAGTTATTTTTGTTTACTGAAAATTACAATAAATATAGGTACTCAATCATGTCCCCTTTCTCCCCTCCCAACCACTACTGGATCTTCCACTGCTGGCCATGATTTCGGTGGTGGCACGTTATATTGTCATGTCTCATGGGCCATGGCTGGCATATGCATAGTCGCATAGACCTATAATACACTAATGGACAGCGCTGCCCATACCTCTCTATCACTGCTTAATCCCGACGAGACATATCTGAGAGAGAAAATATAACAAATGAGGACCATATGAGGGAGAAAAAATATATTTTAGCACTCCATAACGGCCTAAAACCTGAGTTTTCTCTCTCAACAATTCCTTCTGGTGATTTCTCTATCCATCCGCTTCGCCATTAGTTTATAGGTCTATGGGCCTAGGCATACGCCAATATTTTATTATTATGTCATAATTTAGGGCAACGGGCATATTATTATTATTTATTATGGAGATTGACGATTACCGTTTGGCACGTCATGGTGATATCAGGATTTCAGTTTCAGGCATGGTAGAATGCGGAAGCGTTGCCACTTGCCGAAATGCCGAGCATTCATATTATCGTAAAGCCACAGGATCTTAAAATCAAAAGCGGTTTGATCATGGAACAGAAAACGTAAAACACGTTTTCCGGTCGACCGGCTGACGAAAAGTGTTGACGGACGGAAGAACCAGGAAAAACGAGTACACGAATGACTGGAAAACTCAATTGGTTGGCTGGCGGGAGGACCAGCGTTTTCCCGGTTTTCTTTTCCAAGACAATCTTTGCGCGGTAACCGCCGTGATGGTAGCCGCAATTGGTCGCTACCTACCAAGGTCGGGATCCAAGGGCCAATGGCGTGTCGCGTACTGTCAGTAAAACGACCGGCTGACTGCAGCACCGGCGGCGGACAGCGCTGTAGACGCCGTGCAGAACAAACGAACGAAAAGGGCACACACACACTCGCACCAACGGGGCACGAACTACTGTTGTTTCACACACACAAGCCCACACGCTGCTTTAAATATATATGTATTACCTATGTAGTTTTTTTTTTATTATTTCTCCGCTGCATTCCCTCCCACCAAGGTCTCTGTCACACGCACACGGCTCTCTCTGTCTCTCCGTCGGTTGCTCGCGTTCGTACACACTACACGGTACACGCCACAATCATTTTCTTCGTATTCCTTGCGATGTCTCATCCCGTGTTTCGCGCTAACATTTCGAGTCGTAACGTACCGTCTGCCGATTTGCTCGTCGTCGCCGTTGCCGTCGAAGACACCGCCGCCACCACCACCAACGCTGCGACAATGGACAACAGTGCGACCCAGGTACATAGATTTTTTTTTATTCATTTAAGCGTAGTCATTTTTTCGTTCGTCTGTGTAAATCGTTTTGACGGACGTTTTCCCCTCCACGCGGGTGTTTGCGTGTCCGGCCGGAACACGTGGTGCCCCCCGACGTTGGCGTATTCGGCTGCTGCTACTGCAGCCGTCGCCGCTGGACCCGGCGGGTACCCAAAACACGCGTGTTCCGTGCACTTTTCCCAGCGGTCCTGCCATGTTGCTATCGTCAGTGCTCCCGGTAGCCATGGCGCAAGCCAAAGTTAGCACTTTCGTCCCGGACAATGTTCTAGAACATATGGTCACCGGCTTCCGTAAGAAGCCCGATTTTTGAAATTTTCATTTCTAAGTCCTAAAATTAACTTCCGGAAAATGAAAAAAAAGTATATTATTAATCATGATATATTTCATGATTTTTTAAAGATATCAAAAATCGGGCTTCTTAACCAGATAGAATTCTCCTCTACAATTTTGTTCATAGGTGTTTTTACGATTAAACCACTCAGTAACCCATATTATTGGAACGCGCAAAGTATGTTTTATAAGAAAACTGCAGAAAATTACGCTGCAAGTGCTGCGCCCGTAGTCAGTGGCAGCGTTCGATTCTAGCTGTGCATACCACCACCCCGCGCGCATTAACGGCGATACCGCACCATGGTCAAAACAGGTTCTCTATCGCAGCCACGGCTATAGATAATATGGTTGCGGAACGGCCTATACTATAGTCCGCGCAACGAAAACTGGCCGGTTACCCCCGAAACCCGCCCCCCATGAACGTGCCGCTAGCCACGGGTTCTCAAACTCATACAAACCATATTATTTGGTTGTGGAACGGCCTATACTAAACAACGCATTACACCGAGCTGGAATGTTATTGAAAAGTCACGTGACTAAAATTACGAGCCTGTCGCGCCATCTACGGTATTTGATAGAACTAATAATTATTGTACCACGTCTATATTATGCAGAATGCAGAATTGCAAAACAAGGCCATGGCTATTATAATATATTAAAATGCAAACTATATATGACATACTATATTATAATTTAAGTATATATCCAGTGGCGTACACAGGGGGGGGCTAAAACGGGCTAAAACCCCCCATTGCCGTATAATTATTACTTTAAAAAAATATATTAATGAAGTTTTTAACTACAAATTAACTATGGTTTTGTCAAAATGTCCTCACCTAAACGTCTTAAATTATTAGAATGGACAATATAAAAATAAAATTGTAATTAATTGTCAAGCCCCCCCCCCCCCTATTGAAAAATAGCCACTGTATCTATCCATTGAATAAATATGATAAAACTATTTAAGTATTTTAGATTCTGAGTGAAACGATGAAGGTATTGATTTTACAATGATGTGTTTTTTTTAAAAATTTTTTTGTGTCTGGGTGCACGATAAGTAGTCGAAATAATGCTTCGATTTTCAACTTCAGTATCTTGTTCGATTGGAAAGTGAATATCGTTGGTGCATTGGGGAGGTTAAATTTCCCAGTAGTTTTCAAGAGCGCCGGGAAAAACAACATAAAAATTAAGGAAAAAAGGGAATTTTTACGCAAAATCGGTTTTCCAAAAAATCGATTTTGGTTTTTGGTGTAACTTTAAAACAAATGACCGTAGATACATGACATTTTCAGTGGTTGTTTATATTTACATTTTCTATACACGATAACATTTTCAAAATATTTTGATTTATTTTGAACTGTTTAGGGACATTTTCATTTTCCAATTTTATTAGTTAATTTTTTATGAATATCAATAAAATTTTATTTGTTGGTTAAAAAAGCTTGAAAATTTAATACAAGGCTCCTAGTATATTGTTTCAAAGGCAGATGAAAAATATTAAAAATCCTTAGTCACAATTTTTTTTTATTATAAGCATTTAAAGTTCAAAAAATGACAAAATATGGAAAAATCAGGAAAATTTGCAAAATATTTCGAGTGAGAAATTCATAAAAATTTTTCTTTTTAAATCTAAGATATGAAAATATAATACAAGATTCCTTATAAGATTTCCTACATTTATCAAAAACAAAAATTCTATAAGAAAGTCAAATTAAATTTTTATGAGCGTTTGAAATTCAAATTTTTACAACATTGAATATTCACTCGATGTCTCATGTAGCAATTTTCTTATTTTGTTGTTATTTAATAACCAATGACTGTAGATACATGAAAATTTCACTGAATGTTTATTTTATCAATTCTTATACTTGATAAAATTTTCAAAATATTTCGACTTTTTTTTAGCTGTTTACGGACAATTTAATATTTAAATTATTTTAGTTTTTTTTTTCTATAAATATCAATTAAGTTTTATCTGTTTTGCCAAAAAGTGTAAAAAATTAATACAAGGCTCCTGATATATTGTTACAATAGCAATTGAAAAATATTAAAAATACATAGGCACAATTTTTTTTTATAAGCATTTAAAGATCGCATTTTGACAAAATTTATCAAAATCTCGAAAATTATCAATCATCGTAATTAATAAATTATAAAATGTTCAGTTTTTATATCTAAGGGTTGAAAATTTAAAAAAAAGATTCTCATAAATAGTTCATACTGTAGCCAAAAAATCTAAAAAGTATATGAGCTTAGTTATTTTTTACAGACATTTTAAGTTCAAATTTGGGACGAAATTACATATTAAAATACCTAGCATACCTATTTTAGTTATTTTGTTGTGAGTGTATAATACTATTCGTGGGTACTTGAAACTTCTAAAGTACACTATATTATATATCTATGATAGTATCAGGGTTTGTTATTGATGTATGACGTGTTATAAGTACCTAATGGATATTGTGATATGATTAATTTGGAATTTAGTATAGGTCAATTTTTTTTTTAATACCATAGATATGTATATAATATGTCTTAAACCTAGACTGACATACCGTCTTCGCTCAGAGTCGTTTTTCTTATATAATGATATTGTATCATTGAATTCAAATTAAATAGCATCCATTATACAGTGACCCACTTGTAACCTACTGTACAGCAGAGCGACATCCACTTACCCACCTTTTTTATTTTTGTTGTACACAGTTTGCTTTTCCGCGTAAATTGACGTGTTCAACACGAATTGAAACATTATTATTTTGATTTAGAATTTATTTCCTGTACTCTGAGTCAAAATAACCAAGTTTAATAAAAAAATTTCAGTATGGTTAATTGTTGTGTGAAATATCCACATGAAGCTTCAAAAACAACTTTTGGGGTCCCTAAAAGCATCGAGGAAAGAAATAAATGGGAAAATGCATTAAAAACTGTTCTTAAAAATAGTTACAGAGTTTGTGTTTCACACTTTAAGAAGAGCGATATTAAGTCTACTTGGCAATAAAAAAAAAAATTATCAAAATTGGTTACTTCTTAAATTTAATTTTAAAATTAATATAATATATTTAAGTTTAGCTACTTACTATAGTTAGTCTAAATATTGGTGTGTAATTATTAATTAATACATATAAATACTTGAGCGAGCACTATAAACCTGAATTATTTATTTATTGCATACCTATAATATTCTTATATACAAACAAAAATATTATTGTATTACTGTATTTTACTTCTGTATAATTATTGTTGAAAAACAACAACTATGACAAAAATACAGAATATTATAATTTTTAATGTAGTCATACAATTTATCACTCAGAGAGCGCTGTGTGCTGGTGTAAAAGCTATTATACGTTTTAAGCTTCACATTTTCACGTTTCGTTCCGCAACCATATTATCAATAGCCGTGATCGCAGCCGACCGCCCGTGCATACTTTATAAATAACCAGATAAGAAAATGATTATTATATTTGTGACAAATATTATTTAATTTGGTTCGATTTTATATTTTGTATTCGTATCCGAATTTTATACAAATAAAAACTATACTTTTGTTCTTCAAGTAGGTAATAGTGTGATACGGCTTATTGAATCGGTTTACAATGAAAATACCTATAATAAAAATTGTAGAGGAGAATTTTTTTAACAATCTTAATAAATCCGATTTTTGATATCGTATTCCAAACTTATATTTCACATTTCACATTTTTATATTTTGGTATATCGTATTAGCTATGAATAAATTAAAAATTGAAATAATTTGTATATTAAAGGTGTATAGGCACAATAATAAAATAAATAAAATATTTAATTATGAATTATTTTTCAGTATTTATAATGAATGAATAGTATCAATTTATTATTATTATGTGGGTAGTTGTTTTAATATTATTATATGTGTATAGGAATCATAGCCAAAATTTTTTTGAAGCATACGGCAGATAAACGAATAACATTAAGACGCAGGAGAGCACTTTTTAAATTATCTGGAGTGTATAAATCAAAAAAAAGGTGGGCAAGTGGATGTCGCTCTTTTGTACAGTAGGTTATAAGTATAAGGGATGGTATTACATTTGAATTCAATGATATTATATCATTGTATAAGCAAAACGATTCTGAGCGGCGACGGTATGTCACTCTAGGTATAAGACATATTATATACATATATATGGTATTAAACAAAAATAGGTACCTATAATAAATTCCAAATTAATCATATCACAATATCCATTAGGTACTTACAACGCGTTATAAAAACCGTGATACTATCATAGATATATAATAATACACTTTTGAAGTTTCAAGTACCCACGAATAATATTATTCAATCACAACAAAAAAACTAAAATAGTTATTCTAGGTTTTTTAATATGTAATTTCGTCCATATTTGAATTTCAAATGTCTGTAAAAAATAACTGTGTACATATATTTTTTGATTTTTTAGTTACAGTATAAACTATTTATGAGAATCTTTGTTTTAAATTTTCAATCCTTAGCTATAAAAACTGAACATTTTATAATTTATTAATTACGATGATTGAAAATTTTCGAGATTTTGATAAATTTTGTGAAAATTAGATCTCTAAATGCTTATAAAAAAAAATTGTACTTATGTATTTTTATATTTTTCAATTTCTATTGTAACAATATATCAGGAGCCTTGTATTAAATTTTTACACTTTTTGGCCCAACAGATAAAACTTTATTAATATTTATAGAAAAAAAAACTAAAAAAAATTGAAATCTGTAAATGTCCGTAAATAGCTCAAAAAGAGTCAAAATATTTTCAAAATTGTATGGTGTATAGGAAATGCTAATATAAATATTCAGGGAAATTTTCATGTTTTCATGTATCTACAGTTATTCGTTTTTGAATTACAACAAAATAACGAAATCGCTACATGAGAAATCGAGTGAATATCCAATGTTGTAAAAATTTGAATTTCAAACGCTCATAAAAATTTAATTTGACTTTCCGGTAGAGATTTTTTTATTGATAAATTTAGACAAACTTATGAGTAAACTTGTATCACATTTTCAAATCTTAGATTTAAAAAGAAAAATTTTTACGACTTCTTAACTCAAAATAATTGCTAATTTTCGTGATTTTTCCATATTTTGTCAATTTTTGAACTTTAAATGCTTTTAAAAAAAAACTGTGACTAACGATTTTTAATATTTTTCATCTGCCTTTGAAACAATATACTAGGAGCCCTTGTATTAAATTTTCAAGCTTTTTTAACCAACAAATAAAATTTTATTGATATTTCTAGAAAAAAAACTAAAAAAAAATGGAAAATGAAAATGTCCCTAAACAGTTCAAAATAAATAGAAATATTTTGAAAATGTTATCGTATATAGAAAATGCAAATATAAACAACCAGTGAAAATTTCATGTACCAAAGGTCATTTTTTTTAAAGTTACACCAAAAACTAAATTCAATTTTGTGAAAAATCGATTTTGCGTTAAAAATCTCGTTTTTAATTCATTTTTATGTTGTTTTTCCCGTTGCTTTTGAAAATTACTGAGCATTTTAAATTTTGACCTCCCAATGCATTGGCACCAACGATATTCACTTTCCAATTGAACAAGATACTGAAGTTGAAAATCGAAGCATCATTTTTACTACTTATCGTGTACACAGACACAAAAAAAAAAAGAAAAAAGAAAACTATAAATTATATTATACTTGTTGAACTAATATTAATTTTTTTCATGGTTAAATAATAGGAAATTGTTGCTCGTTACCCTTTTATTATATTAATATAGGTAATATGATTATAATTTCTTTTTTAAATATAAATGTGGTGATAAATAATATAGGTCACATACTAAATCTATTGATTGATTTTGTGCATTTGATAAACTGTAATTCATTGGATTGTGTAATACTTATAATATAGTAGTTTGTATAGTAGGTAATTTAAAACTAACAGTTACTTATAGAAATAAATTTTTAATAAATTTATGTTACAATTTGTTATCATTATATATTACAACTATACATTTTAAATTAGTTATTTTTCTCAGTCAATGTACCCGATCTCTAAAAATTACAGAATGATAAATAAAGATTTTAGAGTATTATTATTATCATTACGAGTAGATTACCTATAATTATTATATTACTATATTAGGTATACGTTAGGTATACCTACTACAAACATATTATTAATTTAAATAAATATTTGTAATTACTTATTATCATATTTTAATATAACATTAACAGTTGAACTTAAAAAATAATAAACGGTAAATTAATATTAATTTAATTGCGCTGTATTTATTTTATTTACCATTTATTAGATTTTACTATAAGTATAATATTTAAATAAGTAATAATTCAATAACTTCAAATCAAGCTATGTTATAATACAGTTTCTACGATCTATATGTTGGGACATAAATTTAAGTAAACAGTATCTTAATTTATAATCTGTATAGTTCGTAGGGTATTGAAAATAACTACGGCGGCATTTGCGTATAATGAATTATATAATGATACGAATGGTACTGGACGAACGTTCATAGACAAATAATGCTCGTTTAACCGTCGGCCGGTTGCGAATAGTAGGCGTGACTTAAACGCCGCGCGCTTGCGGATCCTAGAAACACATAACAGCGCATCCTCTCAGTCGTTGCATGCGTACAGCTTTGGGTGACACGTCCTCTTAATACAGTCAACTTGTGATTGTGTGTGACTAATTGGTGTAGTTGCTAAGAGAGGGCTACACCTGCATGTGTTTTCCCTGTTTTATAAACACATAACATAGCAAATTGTACACTCAGTAGATCCCGTTTATCTATGTGAGTTTAAAAATTGACCTCTTATGAAATTTAAAGATAAGATTATTATCTAGTGAACCTCGTCGGTTTTTTTTTAGATTTTAACTTAAAAGCAAATTATGAGTATTTTAAAATGCACAAACAATTTACAATTTTAAATTCTCATAAATTACTTAAAAAAAGTTTATTAAAAAGTTTACCTTTAAACTTTATAAGAGGTCAATTAATTTAAAGTTTTAAACTAACAAAGCAAAACATAGTCTGCTGAGCTTACAAGTTGCTACGTTATGCGTTATGTAGCCCTTTGTACAACGCTCTCTTAAGTTAACTTCACAAATAAAAATATATTTTTAGAAGTTTTATCCATTTACAAGTTCGTTACATTGTACGTCTGCAGAAGATATGATTATTTTAGTAGAAATTAACTGAGATTTGCCCCTTCATAAGCATTCTGTACTGATTCTTATTCTCTTCGTCTAGGAGTTTGAGTTCCTCGATTTCACAGACATCAATGACATGGAACGTGGCCGATTGCTGCACATGTTGTATTCTGCACGGAACGAGTCATGGGTGTCTGGAGAAGATGGATTCAAACATCCTGATTTTCCATGGACTTTTTGCGGTACTCAACCTCAGGCCACTCCACCAGGTTTAATGAATGAAGTTGGCAACATCACACATATTTCTGATTGGAATACAGCAGCAGATGAATATGGTATGTAACCTTTTTTTTTTCTTCTTTTTAATTTTATTAATTTAAAATACAGTACTTAAAAATGCGTAATAATAGATTGTGGCTATCCAACAGTTAATGGTGATGTAAAACCTGAGAACCCTGTGATGATAAATGGTGAAAATGTTGTTCCTGGTTCTCCACCACCAGTTTATCAAATGGTGCCAAATCCTCCAGTGTATATGGGTAACGTACCTCCACCAGTGCATGGATATGTCCCATCTCAAATGTCACCATATCAACAACCAATGTATCCTGGACCAGAACCCCCTATGGACCCGAATCTTAGGCGCCCAAACATTTTCAGGAACCCAAAAGGGATTCCTCCTCCGCCAAATGTGAAACGGAATAATGATATAGCTTTTCGACATCCAGACAATATGGAAATGGTCAATTATCAATCACCACCAACATATATTGCCGTTCCTCCACCACATTATTATTATTCACCTCAAAATAGTCCATTATACTTGCCTCCTCATCATGGACATCCAACATATCCCATGTACACTCATCCACATCCTACTTTAAACAATCCATACCAACAACCTGGACCTATGTACCATTCACCACCAGCTGGTCAAGTACCTCAACAACCTCTTTTAGTTGAATCATGCAAACCTAATGTTAATCCAATTCCACCGGTGCATAATATTTATCCTCAATTACCAGAAAAAGATAATGAGACTCCAGTGGAACCAGAAATAATGTCAATACCACAGGATAAAGAAGTAGAGCTACAAGTACAACCAGAATGTGTGGAAGTTATTGAAATTATACCAGACGTAACAAGAGATGAGCGATTAGTTATTGCGAGTGAAGTGCCAATTGTTGTAGAAACAATTCCATTAGTTGGGTCTTGTGAAAAAATCAAAGAACCATTACCTAATAAAACCAAAAAAAAGAAAGAACCTGCCCCTAATATCCCTTCAGATGTGGTACAAGAAATCCAGAAGACTGAGAAGGAAGAAACTAAAACCGAAGATATAACTCCTGTTGTAGAATTCAAAGAAGAAACCCCTTTAAATCAAGAACAGGCTTCTTCATCTTCTATTCCTCAAGTAGTTATACCTGAAGTTAAAGACACTGAACCTGTTAAACCCGTTTTTAAAACATGGGCAGGACTATTTACTGGATGTGCTAGTACAAGTAATGATAAAGTTTTCACAATACACGGTAGTAGTCAACCAACCACCAACAAAAATACAAAATCTATAATTATACCATCAAGAACTTTACCTGATAATACCGTTCGGACGTCAGTATTTGTAACCAACAACAACCAAAAACAAACATTACCAGTGAAACCTAGACCATCAAGCAGCAACTCTATATCTAGTATTGATGATAATACATTAAATTTACAAAGATTAGGTGGTAAGTTACATTTTTATTGTTGACATTTTTGTATATAGACTATTGCAATTACTATTTTTTGTTTAGAATTTCTTTCAGTTTATAATTTGAACCATAAAACTGCTTATCTACAGCCTCGAGGTTTGACCAATCGAAACACTCGTTGTTATATAAATGCCACATTGCAGGCTTTGTTAACATGTGCTCCTTTTTTCAACCTCATGAGAAGTGTACAATTTAAACTCAAAAATAGAAACAATCGAGGATCCCAAAAATCTCAAACCCCAATTCTAGAAAGCATGTATGTTATATCTACTACATTAAATTCTTATCACAATCATACACAATAACTTAATTTTGAATATTAGGGTTCAATTCATTGGAGAATTTCAAAAATTAAGCATAAAAAACGGGAGAACTACTCAACAGCAACGTCAAGCTACGTCTGTGGCTACTCAAGAAACGCCTGATACTGGTCCAGCATTTGAACCAAGTTATGTTTATAAAATACTACCAGCTTTTGAAGAAGGCCGCCAAGAAGATGCTGAAGAGTTTATGAGTTATCTTCTTAATGGAATTAACGATGAAATTATTGAAGTAAGTTAGAGATTCTTGCTACCATGCATTTGTTAATAAACATACTATTTCCAGCTAATTAAAATGAGCAAGTCTAACATAAGCAATGGTGAAACACAAGCTAAAGTAGATGGTATCGATAATAACAATGAATGGAAGGTTAGTACTTGTCATTTTTCTTTTAAATAATGTTAGTGTAAGTTTGCAAATTTGTAATTAAATAATATTATATTTTAGGAAGTTAACGGTAAACGTAAAAGGGTGACCAGAAGAACAGTTATGGAAAAAACGCCATTATCTGAGATATTCCGTGGGCAGCTACGTATTCGCACAGTGAAAACTGGTGAAAATGAACCGACTGAAAATATTGAACCTTTCTTCACACTTAAGCTAGACATTGAGGTACATCATATTGTGAATCAAATAAATAATTTTTTTATACATAATGTATAATATTAATTAAATATTAATTTTAGAAAGCAAAATCTGTTCGGGAAGCTTTGGACATGCTAGTCAATAAAGTCACAATCAAAGGATTAACTTGTCCGAAAACCAACCGTGAGCTAGCTGCGTACCAACAAGTTACTATTGATGAGCTACCTTATGTCTTACTGTTACATCTTAAATGTTTTGAATACAAGCAACAAAAACTGACTAAAATTGTAAAAAACGTTGAGTTCTCGGTTGATCTTAAAATTGAACCTAGTAAGTGCTCATTATATTACTTAAAACACAAATTCCATATTTCTGTTTTCTTCAAATCTATTTGTGCTTCATCAGATTTGTTTTTTAAATTTGGGTACATAAATTTGACTCTTAAGAGTAGCATTTGGGTAAACTTATATTCAAAAGCTTAGTGTAGTGTCATACAAAAAATGTTAGTTTCATAAACATTATTACGTTACCTTCCTCTGTCCCTGTCCACTTTTAGTCTGCTTATAGTTTAATATTGATACTTGACTAGTGCAATAAAGTGGAAAATCAAAACAATTTTCTGACAGTTGGCCTATACTAAACAACAATAATATATGGTCAGAATAACGAAAATTACATCTTTTAGTATGTGTGTGTATATTGTACATCAATAAAAAAAACATTAACATTTAAACAATAAACAATTTATTGTATTTCACAAAATTATATTTCATTAGGTAGTATGAGAATTATTATAATTCATTACTAAAACTTAATAATACAGTAGAAATCACTTATTAGTAACACGGATAATTAATACAATCAGATTATCGAAACAATAAGGGCCAAGATGACCTCAAAATCCGGTTATTCCGTGCATTGACCTACTGTGATTACAATGTACATTATCTTATGTTGTTACGATCAATACTGATTTCCACGTGTCACTTTATTTCATTAAGACACATGGATAGCAGGGAAAGCCGATTTTAGTGCATAACAAGTGTGGTTTTAAACTCTGCGCCAGTATGAACACTAGAAAACGATATCGATAAATAAATATTTTACACAACATAAATAAAATTTTCCATAGTACTTACTATTTTTTAAATTATACTTTTTTTTCATAATAAATAAACCACACACTTCACCTTGGTCCAAAGGTGTACCTATAGGCGACTTCTACTGTATATAGAACACTGTTGGATTATTCAACAATAATAATGTAATTAGTCATAAATTGATTATTTATTTAGCATATACATTAACGAAGCAAAAATATTAATTGTTCGTTAAATATGATGTAATAGATATATTCTTTAGTATATTATATACTAGGTACTAATAGTATTGATAATGTTGATGTGTCATTATATAATTTTAGCAACATTAAATTTTAAATGTTTTTGTTTTTGCAGGGCTCTTATCAAAAAATTACAAGATTAGCTCGAAGACTAGACAGTATAAACTCTTTGCAGGTAAACACATCTTTGACGTAATTATGCATAGCCAATTAAAACCCCGTTTTATTTAAGCCAGAACATATAATTATATTTTGTTGTATGGGTGTGCTAAGGACGGGTATATTATCTTTGGTTTGTGTGTATGGAATTTTTCAACCTATGAATTTTTCTAAAGAAATAGCTGAAACAGTAACTAATACAAGTTTTTATATTTTATTCCCAGCCAATTATATTTCCATCCCGTTTTATTTAAGCCGGTCTGTGTGTATGGAATTTTTCTAAAGAAATAGCTGAAACAGTAACTAAAAGAAGTTTTTATATTTTATTCCCAGCCAATTATATTTTCACCACGTTTTATTTAAGCCGGCTCATATAATTACATATTGGTGTATGGGTGTGCTAAATTCTAAACAAATATGATACTAATAAAATTATTAGATATTAACTTACGATATTTTTTGTTTCTATTTCAAGTTGTTTATCATGATGGTAAAGAGGCAAACAAAGGTCATTACTTTGCTGATGTATTCTATGTGGCGCTCGGTAGATGGATACGGTTTGATGACGCGAATGTACGTTTTGTCACCGACAAAGAAGTATGTCAGCCAAAACCCCCATGTATGCCGTATTTGCTATACTACAGAAGAAATGACACAATTGCTGCACTCTCTGCGTTTGATAATAAAGGCAGATAGTTTGTAATTTCTACAGACATTTTGGTACGTATTTTGCTACGCCTGGGCCAAATGTATGAATTTGAAGGAATATTTTTTTATCACTATTATTTATGTTAGTTTATTATTTTTTAGATTTATAATTATTAAAATGAAAACCCCTTAGTGAGATACATAAATATACAAAGTATATTAGAGATCATTGAGTCATGGTTGATTTTTTTAATAATTAAAGAGAAATTAATTTGTATAATGATAATAACTAAGTGAATACTGAAACCCAATGGAAATGTTGAATATATTTTTCAAAAATCATTGGCCTATTTTATACACAACATATATTATAAACAATAATATATGTGTGTATATATTTATATATCATTTATTTTAATTTTTTGAATCATGCTTCTAAAACCATTTAAAATAGTTAAAATAATTGTTTTATTTGCATTTTACTATTGTGTAATTTATATATTATTATTTTTTCGGAAACTGATGTTTTGAATATACAAAAATAGGATTGTATTAATAATCTACTCGTGTAAACATCATTTATAATTTTTTAATGGGTTTAATATATGTTTGTTTTTTTTATTATTATTATATTATTATTTGTGGAGTATTACACACAAACTCAACGGTCATCTGTAAAATATAAGTGTCTTATTACAAATGTAAACTGGGACTATCGAGGGGAAATAAGAACTAACCAAACATGTATCATTAAATTATATAATTTGTACTTTATTTAGTCACGACTGCAACTTTTATAACAAATTGTGAGCATAATATTAAATATATGCTTTATAAATTATTATGTGAACATTCAACTATTTTGATAATTTTTATTGTAAATCCTACTTTTTCCTTCAAATTATTTATTAAAATATTATATTTATAACCAGTAGAGTTCAACTAGTTTACAAAGAAGTTATACAATACTAATAAGAGGATAAACAATGTATAGATTTGATAGACAATTAAACTTTAAAGGTATAGATGTTCATACTACTTACAGTTTTATATACAACTTAAACCTGGATATAACTATATAAGATAATCGTTTTTATATACAACAATATGAAAACTTAGTATTTTTATATTACACTGATTATGTAAATCAGTTCCAGTATCAAGTGGATTAGTTTTACCAAAATTGGAGTTAGGTACATTAATTATATTTAGTAATTTTAACTTCTGTGTGATAGATTGTATGATAATCATGATTAATAGGTGTAAGCAAATGTCTATATTGAGTACTGAATAGTCAAGTAATTGTTTTTGTCAACGAATTTCAGTACCATTTTTTTTTTTACTGAACATCAGATCCTTGTATTAACTTCGACGCAAACTGTTGTTTACCACTAAGTGCGTAGATGTATAATACTATAATATACAGCCTTGTTAAGTATTTGAATTCTTGTATTTAAATACTTATTATTCTAGAATACTAAATACTTTTTTGATTCTAGTGGTCTACTCCAAATTCCAATTACGAATATTTCGGAATGGACTATTTTAAATTTCGTTTCTAAAATATTATTTTAAAAGTGGTTCTAACTTCTGATAATTTATAAATATTGTTTCGCCAAAATATTAGCAGATAACAGAATGACTGAACTCTTAAAACCTCGTAGCCTCCTCACTCCCATATTATACCAATATTACTATGCATGCTCGTCCCCGAGGGGGATTCTAACACTTCAATTATTACATTTTATATGTTAGAATCTGAATTTCCATCAGCTGATTTTAAGTTTAACATAATTTAATTATTTCAAATCATTTGGTGTCATTGGCTGATGGTGAGGCACTAAGGTCAATTGATTTTTGAGACACCTAATCAAATGTTGATGACATTATTTCAAGATTTGGAAAAACAAAATTTCCCCTGTACCCGTTCACCCATAATTGGGATATAATGGGTACCATATTTGGAATGATCCGCATCCACTGTTTAAGTTAAAATCTATTTTAAAAATTCTATATAATTGTACAACGAAAAACTGATTTTAACAAATATTGAAACATACATAATAATATTTTTAAAAATTCTATATAATTGTACAACGAAAAACTGATTTTAACAAATATTGAAACATATATAATAATATTTTTAAAAATTCTATATAATTGTACAACGAAAAACTGTTTTAACAAATATTGAAACATACATAATAATATTTTTAAAAATTCTATATAATTGTACAACGAAAAACTGATTTTAACAAATATTGAAACATACATAATAATATTATTTATAATTATAATATAAATGACATTCAAGATTGTAAATATTTTATAAAACAAAATTGGGTCCCGTGATCTAATTTATAAGTTCGGAGACGTTGTCGAATTGAAGGGGAGTGCAGGGGGACTCAGCTCCACTACTTTTTTTTATATATCGATACTACCAATAGTACTTCGATTGTAATATTGATATATATGTAATATAGGAAGACGGATAGATGGTCAGTTGGCGGTGGTCGTCTGACTCGACTACCACTGCTGGTGTTAGAGTCAGGTGGTGATCGTGAATATGCTATTATAATAGGAGTTAGGAATCATTTATCACAAACTATTTGTTTTTTTTTTAAATTTTTTACATACCTATAACCGCGTCGGTCTTACAAATGGTGCCTACTTGGAAAAAAATAATTTTTTTAATGCGATTTTGTCATGAAGGGAATTGTCCGAACATTTCTCCAGCCTCCGAGGTTTCGTAAATTTTCGTTTATACCACCTGTGACCTGTATAGCTTATAAAATATATTTCTTTTATCTCTACCACGTTCCCGTGTGTTGTATAGGTTTTTTTATCTTAATATATGGTATTTGTGTTATTTATATTACTATTTACTTCAATGTACTCGATGTACCTTAGGATGACTGCAGCGTCGCGTAACTGCGGAAGTTTCCACACCACCTATGCTTGTTAAACGACATAATATCACATCTTCTATGTTGTTAAAAGCAAGAGGTATTACACGTAGCTCGTTTTTTTTTATTGTGGTGTCCCCTGTAGGCCTAATCCACATCGCAAGCGAGAAAACGTGGACGCCGGTCGACTACAATAATATTGTAATTTACTTTTACATAGTTCAGTACAGCGAAAACTTGACTAGACTTGACGACAAAACTTGTACAACATTTTTCGTTATTTATGCATCTATAAAACATATTTTAATGTAAATAAATAAATAACAAATTTAACATTGAATAGGTTTTAATTTTGTCGCAACACGGCATTCACACATTTTCGGGTTACTTTATAATAGCGTTGAAATTTAGAGTGTTTCAGCCTCTGGAAAGGCGAGCTAGGCTGCTGGCGCCGAAGGATTTATATTTGTCACATACTCACATAGCATCTCGTGTATCTTGTATTTAATCTAAGATGTACAAAGAAAAATTTGTATGAATTCTCAACTCAAAATTATCTGCTAATTTTCGCCATTTTTCAGTATTGTGTAAAGAAAAACTGTGATTTTTAATATTTTTCAAATGTCTTTGTAACAATATAGTAGGAGCCTTGTATTAAATTTTCAAGTTTTTTTACCCAACAAATACAATTTGATTGACATTCATAAAAAAAAAAAAATTAAATAAATAAGAAACTAAAATTTTTAGTAAACATCTCATAATAAGTCAAAATATTTTGAAAATGTTATGGTTGTATACTGTATAGTAAATGCTAATATAAACAACCAGTAAAAATGTCATGTTTCTACGGTCATTTGTTTTAGAGTGACACCAAAAACCGAAATTGATTTTGAGGAAAACCGATTTTGCGTTAAAATTCCCGTTTTTCCTTAGTTTTTGTTATTCCCTGCGCGTTTGAAAATTACTTGGAATTTAAAATGTTGACCTCCCCAATGCACCAACTAGATACACTTTCCCAGATTAGATATTCACTCGATTTTTCATGTAGCGATTTTGTTATTTTCTTGTAATTCAAAAACGAATAATATACATGAATTATGTAGATAGTAGATACTAGATAGGTACATGAAAATTTCATTGCATGTTGATATTTTCATTTTTTATACGCCTAAATGAGGCTGCTGGATCTGACAACCAGAATTTTCTGGGAAACAGTAAAACGAGATACTTACACTAACGACTGCTATCCAAAGAGTTTAGCAGTTAAATATTATGTATCAGTGTATCATGTAAATTATTTCTTGTTCATAAAAAATTGTCAACGGTAATTTCTTTGAGTGTCTAAATTCCGAGCTAAATATTTTTTTGCTGTGTGAAAAACCTACGACTAAATTCGGGTAGTAATGGGATATTCAGATTTCAGACGTCCAGTATTTCAAAATCTGTGGGCCGTTTATTAATTATTCCTATACGTATTTTGCATATTTGTGAAGTACCTATACCTAATGGGAGACGCCCTCATATTATATCACTATACATAATACGCTTTCAAATTATAACACTTCAAACCGTACCTATAATAAAATGAATTTGGCTATCACTAATATTAACTCTTAACATACGTTATTTAATTTTGAATTTAAAAAGTTAAATCAGATTTGACTTAATAGACGGAAAATCTAAAACTGCAATTGAAGTACCAAAAATGTTGATGAATCTATTAACGTTTAATACTTAACCATTTAAATATTTAATACATTCCTTCCATTTTTTACCTACTCAATGGCAAAGTATACCTACACTCGGTTGCACCTATTATACATCTAAACAAGATACTTTCTTGATTTTTTTTAGATTCTGAGTGAAACGATGAATGTATTAATTTTTCAATGTTGTATGTTTTTTTTGTGTGTCTGTGTACAAGATAATAAGTAGCTGTCGAAATAATGCTTCGATTTCCGACTTCAGTATCTTGTTCAATGGGAAAGTGAATATTGTTGGTGCATTCGGGAGGTCAAATTTTAAAATGTCCAATAGTTTTCAAAAGCGCTGGGAAAAACAACATAAAAATTAGCCCTTAACTTGGTGTTGTATCTTTTTGGACACACAAAGTTTGTGAATTTTTGTACGGAATCCGATGTA